ATGCCCTTTGATTGAAACAAAGCATAGCAACAGATATAATTGGTCTAAAGCCTCACTTTCACAATCCCTATTGATCGAGTCAATTAGGACGGCAAATCATACTTTGTACTGCTCGAATCACGCTGAATTCCGATTTATTGCAACGACACACAGAGAGACAGTTTTTTGTGCGACAGAGACCTTTTTCAGCAATTTAAGAAGTCTATTTCTTTTAGCTAATGATTGACGTATAGACTTTTGAACCTGACAAACTGTCTATTCGAAATACCGACCTCAGACGACCTCCCGGAGACCAGTTTCCTCAAAACTCGATTTGTACTTGATACTGATCATCTGGTAGGATCACGACCGACCTAATAGAGTTTTGAGATCAATAGACTTAAGATTCCTAATGCCCTTTTCCCGGTCATCCAGTGGGGTTTCTTTTCCCCAAAACTCGATTTCTAGTGATTCGTTCTCAGAAAACTCAATTCCTGTTGATTTCCGGCCAACCCGAAAAATTTTGAGGCGAATCGACATCGAATTCGAACTACAGTAATTACATGTATAAATCGTTAGAGGACTGCTTCCGCGGAAATCCAATTTAGATTAGCTGGTTTCTTAGGAGCTTAATTCCTATTGGTTCCAAGTCAACCAATAAGAATTCGAGGTGAATTGACGTTCGATTCGAACTAGCCCCCTCTGGAAACCCCTACTGGCCTTTTGCGGACGGAGGATCGATTTATTTTCGGTAAAAAGTAGTCGTTGACCTTCCTCTGAATCCAAGGGTGTGCCGTAGAAAGTTTCGTGACGCTAGCTCTTACAGGGACCAAATTCATAAAGAACAGACAAACAAACATTCTTCTTTATATATACAATCTGTAAAGCGCTTCATTCTGAGCAAATTAGATTCCTGTTTTTATATGACGAATGAATGGAAAATTCTCGAATGAAAGCGTATTGATGAGTAGATAAAAAAAGAAATTGTTAATATGAACTATTTCTGAGTCTCAGTTTCATTCTTATGATCTCATAAACGTAGGCGATGGCAAGTTATTAACGAATAATAAACAGTAATCATACTGAAAATCATTTTCTAAGACCTGTTCGAATTAAAATCGATGACATATGGTAAATCTTTTAGATAATCCAAGTATTATATACTAGACATGCACGGAATCCAAGCTCCGGTTCAAGCTTGAATTCATGAACTATTCAATTAGTTCTGATAATGTCAAGTATTTTCGCAATTGTCCAAGCAATTTTTGAGCAATGTGGACAATCATGAAAACATCTTAAAGCTTAGTCAAGTTCGAGTTCGAGTATCTCTGATCATGGTTGACTTTCTTTTAGTAGGATATTTGTCGTTCTTCAATTTTTTTGATCATTTATTTCACTATATGTACATCTAACATAGCCAACATTAAAATCCTTTCGATTGACTTACTTCGACATCATTTTATTAATCACTTGAAAATGGTTGCAGTCAGGTTTGAACCCGAATCTTCAGGTGCTTGCTATGCATGCCTACTCTATATCGATTTGTTGGTTTATTCATTATGAACATAGATCTATTTTTTGATAGCTTTGTCAGGAAAAAAAATTTCTAAAAAGAAAGAAGCAAATATGTCATCATTCTTCTAAACCTGTCGTTGGTGTACCTGTGTTTTTTTCTCTCTATTGTGTGTATATCATATCTAGAATGCTTATATTGAATCATCACATATTTGTCTTTATATTTACTTTTTATTTTATTAATTATTTTTATAGATAATATTTATCTACTTTCTTCGCTTCGAGATTTTATTTCGAGTCCTTTTTTTCTACAACTTTTCTCCACTCAAATGTCTGTCCATGACCACAGACGGTATGATTATGTCATCTTAATCAAACATAAACTTCTTATTAGAAAATTGTTAATCCCAAGAAAACAAAGGTGTTCAGTTTTTTATCAGATGTGAAACAATACTAAATTGAAATTGAACAAAAGATTAATAATAAATGAAAATCATTTTTCCTTTCATTAGAACGCAAGGTACACTGATCATAATGAGATGGTTTTGTATATCATTCGAATATCAGTCTTCTAATACTTTTAGATAATTCTAATCACAAGTTTTAACAGATATTTTTTTATTATCTTTCGCTAATCCTCGTCTTATATACATGACTTTCTTCAATATTTTTATCTTTCAAATGTCTTCGGATCGTTCTACCAAGAGTACTGAATAATATTTCTTTCAAAAAAAACCTAATATAATTGTTCATGAAAAATTTTATTCATAAAACGTTTCAATACGTTCATGTTTTTTTCAAAAAGAAAAACATCATGTGTGAGAGATTTATTTTTCATTGCATTAAATATTTTTTTGCAGCATTATACTTCAATTTATGATAGTGTTGAAAACGATCTATCATTGATGCTAATGCCATTTGTTATTTTTATATATGGTATATGCATCAATATGGATAATGATGATTATGTACTAAATACATTTGTTGAATTGATTAAAGAACAATTATTGAAAAAATCTTGACTCTAGAAAAACAAAAATTTTTATGAAGAAAAAAAAATATAAATTATGTACAAGAATAATTTCATTATCAGAAATTAATTTTATTCGACCCGATGATGATTGACCATTAACGACAACATTTTTTAATCAAAGTGCACATTCAGGTAACATTCTATGATAATATTCGAAATTTCTAGTTATGTGCGATTTATTATATGTAATAAGTTTGCAAAGAATTACTTATCATAAGTTTAGGCTCATTAGTTATTTCAAAATTAGAAGAAAATTTGTTTTTTTTTACACTTTGTAATTGATTTGTCTTTTTTATCTTGTTGTTGAAATGAAGAATTTTTTATTTGGATTGCATATGATTTTATTTGTTTGAAATCATGTTGACCAATACGACATTCATTTTCTTGTTTATATTTTATTAATTTATGTTGTTTATATTTTAATAGAGCGTTTGCAGCTTCAGCAAATGCAAGTCGTTTTCGAATTTCTCGTTGGTCTTCATCATGCATACAATTAATACGTTCAATGTCATATTGACGACGTTGAAGAATCTAATTTTTTTTTATTTTGCAAAATAAAATAGAATCTTTAGGGTGTGAGTGTGGGATGTGGGCCTGGGTGTGACAGTAGGTGTGAGAGAGTAAAGGATCTACCCACACCCACCAACACCCACACCCTCAAATCCCGTGCTCATGTAAACACACCTATGTTGGACAAACAAAAGTAGGTATAGATAATCGTATGAAACAACATTCAAAAACCATAATGATAATGAAAATAATAGTAATTCAGAAATGGTTAAACATTTTCAACAAAAGAAATTTCAATGTCTATTTGATACAAATGATGCATTTATAATTGAAGAAGGAAAAGATTATTGGAAAAGACGTACAAAAGAAGCAATATATTCAATAATAAGTGAGTCAGTAAATACACATGATGAAATTAATGCAGCATGGACACCAATATTACATAAAGCAAAACATCATATTCAACGAAAGATCGAATCAACTTGAGAAAATTACAACAAATACAAAAGAACAAAAACTTAATGAAAAACAAGACGGTGATAGTGATACGGAAAAGGATTTAATCCTTAGCTAGCCGTTACCATTACCGTCTTGTTTTCCGTATCACTATCACAAGTATGACTAATACCAGAGCTGCCGGCCTGGCCTGCTGCCTGACAGACGCCTGGCAGGCCCCCAGGCCAGGCCGAATTCTGAAATTTTTAGCCTGGCCAGGGTGAAGTTGTTGGCCTGCAGGCTAGACCAGGTCAAAATGATCAGGTTGTCCATGTAAAAATTTTAAAAAAATTTAACGAAAAGAAAGCATAACATTTTTCACTATTAATATGTGCTAAACGCTCTTTTTTAACAAATCTCATTTGTTAATTCAAGCTAAACTGTTTCTGTCGAGTTAGAATGTGTGGAATTTCGTTAAAAAACAATTTTTAACGTGTTTTCAGATATATAACTGTAATATCTTTTCTCGTTAAATCACAGAATACTTATTCGCTTTTACTTGAGTGGTTCCTAAGTTTTGAAGATCAAATATTGATGCATGGTCTTATTATTCGAAACTGATTTAATAAATTCATGCGATTCTAGCGGTCAAAACTTGTACTGAACATTAATT